AGGTAAGGTGGTGGCACCTGGACAGGGGAGTGCTGCTGGGACGGTGCCGAGGCAAGCGGCACGTTTAGCATGTCGTGGGAGTGCAGGTGGCTCCAGCTCAGCCGGGAGGGGAGAGATGCCAGCCGGCTGTTGCGTAGGGGCCACACTGGGCAGCAGTGGTACCCGACAGGTGCCTTGTGGGGGGTGATGGTGCCAGGGATGTGGCACTGTCCTGCTTATCTTGATGCCCGTAGTCTGCTGTTGACACCCTCCGGCAGCGTGGGGCGCCATGCTGCTACCCGAGGCTGCTGCAGGGCTCATCCCGCAGCGCAGGGGCAGGGCTGGCCCTCGAGCACCGGGGTCAGGCTCTGCAGGTTTGGACAGATGCAGTCGGTGAGTCTGGGAGTGCTCAACTTCAGCTGTCTGAGCTTGCCTACTCCCAGAGCTGCCTGCCTGGTCAGTGGCAAAGCCAACAAGCACCCACGGGTGGGAGGGTCTGGCAGGGATCCTGGCTCCTTCTGCGCTGCAGCTCTTTGATGCTTCCCAGAGCAAGTCTGCTGTTAATTCCCTCCATCTCTCCACAGTGTCAGCAATCACCTCCATGCCAGGCCATTGGCAGGTGGGCAGCAGCAGGCAAGTGGCAGACTGTGACAAGTGGTGGCACACCTCCCTGCATCTGTGCTCCCAACTCACCCAGCAGAAGGTGTGGCTGGGCTGTGTTCTCCTGACTCCTGGCTCTCCTGCTCCATCTGTTCCCGGTGGGCAAATCAGAGGCTCGATGTGATGGGGATGCCCTGAGCCCTCACTCCAGGAGCTTCAGGCCTGGATGTTGGTGCTGCTCCTCCTGGACGATGTGGCTGATACTCTGGAGAAGCCCTCTCTTGCCCCGTGTTCTCCAAGTGCCTGAGCTGGTGGCCGGCTGGGACCTGCGGTTCACGCTCTGGGCCCTGAGCTTTGCCTCGGTGGTTGTGCAGATGGAGGGCCAGGTGTACTCACCGACCGTCAACACGCACTATGGGAAGTTACGGGGAGTGCGCGTGCCACTGCCCAGTGAGATCCTGGGGCCTGTGGACCAGTACCTGGGGGTGCCTTATGCTGCCCCCCCCACTGGGGAGAAGAGGTTCATGCCTCCCGAGCCACCACCATCCTGGTCGGGCATCAGGAACGCTACCCACTTCTCACCAGTCTGCCCCCAGAACATCCACAACGCTGTTCCTGAGATCATGCTGCCCATCTGGTTTACCTCCAATTTGGATATCGTGGCCACATACATCCAGGACCCCAACGAGGACTGTCTGTACCTCAACATCTACATCCCCACAGAGGATGGTGAGTCTCTGCTGGAGTGCCTGCAGAAGGGGGAGGGGGAGGGATGGCATTTCGCCTCTCCCCAGCAGTGGTTGGTCTCACTCGGTGTTGTGTTTGAAGCATGTGGTTGTGGACGCTGCAGCATGCTGTCTGTTTGTGGAAAGCTTTCTCTGGCTACGCAGCTCGCCCTCTTGCCCTCAGCTGGCATTTCTGTCTCGCGTGCTCCTGCTCCTCCACGCCTCCCGGTCCCCCCACTCCACCTCCATGGCATCGTCACAGGTTCCTGTCTCGTGTTGCTAAATCTGAATCCGACTCTCTGACCGCAGATCCACAGAGCAACAAGCTGATTTGTGCTCCCCAGGTGCCAAGTGCCAGGTTCTGTCTTGAGCTGGTTCGGGTTTGTCCTTCCTTCCCCCTTCCCACCTTCCCCAGGTCCATGCACTAGTTGTGGGCATGGGCTGCAGCTGCGGCTGGGAGGAACACTCTCTGCCTTTCCCTGGGGAATGCTCTTGCAAGGAAGGGACCACGGAGCCCTTTTCTGGGCCCTGGTATGTATGAGAGTTTGGGGGCACCGGCCGGTGCTTTGCTTGGCTGCCCCTCATCCACCGGCGGGATGGTGGAGGAGTGATGAGCCTGGGGTCCCAGGGACCTGCAGGGCATGGTCCCATTGAGGTGAGGCTGAGTGGTGCTGGGTGCCTCCTTGTCTAACCTTTTCTTTTGTAGGGGATCCCAGCTGAACTGTAAGTAGAGGGCAGAGGAGGTAGCGCCTGCCCATGTGCCTGCCCCAGCCTCACTGCAATGGGAGCCCCTGGTGATTTTCAGTGGGCTGGAAGGGACCTGCAGTGGATCTGCTGTGTGTGGCAGAGCAGCCTGGCGGGCTGGTGGCTTCTTCCAGGCCAGCTGGCTCCACTCCTCTGTCCCTGGGGCCCTTGGCCATGGGATGCATTGTGCCTTCCCACCCAGCACGGCTGGCCCAGAGTTTTCCTCCCATGGCGACGTTCCCTCCCCACCTCCTGCGGTCCCAGGGGTGGTGGGAGGGTGGCAACGTGGTTGTGATTGCATGCCCACTCCCACCAGTGGAGCCTCCTGTTATTTTGTAGTCTTTTATTCATTTTACAGTAAAACGGATTTCCAAGGAATGCACCCGAAAGCCCAACAAGAAAATATGTAGGAAAGGAGGTATGTAGCAAGCCGACCGGCAAAGAGGCACAGAGAGGAAAGAGAGAGAGAGTGAGAGGGTGCCTGACCGGCCCCTGGCCCTTGGCATGCTCCTCTGGCACCTCTCTGTGCCATCACCCAGACCGCGGGTTCTCTGAGCAGCCCAACCTGCCTCCCTCCACTGCCTGCTCGGAGGAGCTCCACAGATGCTCCGGCCACCTTTGCTGCCCCGCTGGGGAAGCTGGGACCAGTGCCAGCTGGGAGCGCACATCTGGGCACAGGTCAGAGGAGGATGATCACATTGCTCCAGGCCTTTCAGAACAGCTTCTCCCAGGCTGAGCCCACACTTCTGCCTTCATCCCACTGACAGCAGCCTCCCAGCCCCTGGGTGTAAGGAGGAGCCTCTGATGACAGGTAGCACTTAAAAGTACCCATCCCAAAAGGGTGCATCCCCTATTGGGGTGTACGGACTCACTCAGGGAAGCACCTTTGTGTGTGATAGAGGACTGCAGCCGATCCTGGGTTGAGTTCCCCCATTGCATCCCTGGTCATTTTGCATACAAAGCTTCTCAGTTAAAAGCATAAAACCTCTCCTGGCTGTGTAAACTGCCATATTCTGCCACAGCCCATGGTCCCACTAAGGCTGCTCCCTGCTGCCCACACCCCAATGACTCTGCCATCCCCTCCACTGAGGATCTGTGCTCAACCTCCTAGCACAGCATCCTCCCTGAGCCCTGACCACTCTGTGGGCAGCCAAGCTCCTTGAGTTCAGACACCTCTGCTTTGCCTTGCCTTTGTCCCCAGCACCCTGTGGGACTCATGCTTCTCCACTTTGGGGTAGAAGGGGCAGCACAGTCCACCCTTGCCCCAAAGTGATCCTGTGTTCCTGGCCAGCACCGCTAGCCAGGAAGTGGACACATGCAGATGGGAGCTGGCTTAGCCCCTTGTTGGACACAGTGCTTCACTGGTCCTGCTGCACAGCCCCTTTTCAGGCAGGGAGAGCCCAGGCTGCTCTGTGCATCTCAAAGTTGGATGTGCAGTTGGTCAGGCAGCCAAGCTCTTCTGAAAGGCTCAGTGTAGGGATGGGCTGTCTGGTGGGCAAGGGCTGCCATCCTGGGCATCCTGCAGCAGCGGGGTCCTTGCGTCCTGGTGTCCACCTCCCTGCACCCCTGGGGCTGGTAGGACTGGGGCAGCTGGGCTTGAAGGTTTGAGGAGCACTTTCCTTCCAGCCATTTCCCCTAGTTCTGTTGTTGGGTTTCTTTGCTTTGCTTTTCCTGTTGCTGTCCTGGCTATTCACATGCCATCTGTCTGAGTGCCAAGGCTGCCCCTGAAAGGGCTGGCGCATTAAGGAGTCTTTGCACGTTGCCTCCGGAGCTGGCTGTGCCAGTGATCACCAGCTACTTCAAAGTGCTTCCTCTCCCGGCCCTCCCACAGACTGCTGGGGCTGGCAGACCCCTGCCACCCCAAGCCCTACAACTGGGGCCAGGGAAGCAGGGTTTGGGTTATGGCTGGAGAAGGGGGAACACATAAGGCACGGCAAAAAACCCCGGCACCTGGTTTTCCCTCCGTGCCAGCTCTGCTCAGAGGCAGGGTTTCTTCACAGCCCACCTGCAGTTGCCTTTGATCACCTCCCAAGGAGCTGGTGTGGGACATGCTCTCTGGCCCCCGCTGGGCTCTGCCGACTCATGGACCAATGGATCTCCAGTGCTGGCTGTTTGGGCATCCAGCTGTGGGTTGCTGGGAATTAAAGCACCCAGGCACTGATGCTACGCTTCAGCTCTGGCTACGGCTTTGGTGGCTGTTGGCTTGAATGAATTTAGTCACTTGTGTTGATACCTGGAGGCTCCCCCACCCCTGGGGATATTGTATCCTGGGTTAGTAATGCTTGGGGTGAGGATAATGCACCTGCAGTACTGATTTCCTCAGGCTGTTGTAATTTGAACACTGGCCTGTCTGCAATATTCTTGATGATTATTTCTAAGACCACATATGAGTGGTGAAGCTCTCCTCTCACAGAGCAGGCAACTGTGCAGTATTTTGGTGATTCAAAACACCTTAACTCCCACCTTACTGGAGTTTTCAAGATTTTTGCCACCCGTAAGCTCAGTGTATTTCATAGCAGCCAATTTATCAGAATTTATGCCTGGGACAGAAAAATGCCCATTTCCCTGCCCAGTTGCCCACAATAATTTCCTACATGGAAATTTCCTATGTGTCAGTCTCTTCTATACGCAGTGGTCCCTTCTCTGGAAGCTGGGCAGGGCAGTGGTGCTTTGAGAACAATTAGCCATGCATGGTGCTAGGGAAGGTGACAGTGCTGAGGCTCAGGCTTTGCTGTGAAAATAACACTGCCCACCCGAAGAGCATGTACATACACACCTGGTACAGCACCTGTGTGCAAAATGCAGCTCTGCCCTTTGCTTTGTGCTGCCAGCACTTCCAGCCTGTGCTTGGCTGTGGCAGGTGCTGGGATGCTTTCCCTTTCCTTTCACCACCAGCCTGGGCAGGCTTTACTGCAGGGCTTGAGAAGTTGGATGTCATTTTTGGAGGAGAAAAGTATAGCTGCTCTCCACATAGCCATCCTTTTTTTTTTTACTAGCAAATACCATAATCTCTCTGGCTGGGGCTGTGCAGCGTCCATGATACTGGGGAGACAAATGTGCCAGTCTAGTGTCTCGTGTGGCAGGAGCTCCCAGCACCTCCTGGGCTTGGGATGTGCTTTGGCTGCTCTGTGGGAAAAGCATCGTGGCTTCTCCACTGCTCTTCGAGAAGCGAACTTGTCTATCTATCAGCTGAGGCTTCCCTATAGCTGCACGACTTCTGCAGTGCTCCCTTGCTGGAAGGCTTCTCACCAGCCTCCTGCAGAGCCTGCTGCTTTGCAGAGCCGGCACGGCGGCCGTGGTGGTCTGCTCCCACCCTGGGGAGTGATTTGCAAAGGTGAGGGAGTAGGTGCTTATGGCAGAGGCAGCACAAACTGAGCAAATGCAGAGCTTTCATGGAGTTTGCCCAAGGATGAAAATAACTCCTCTGCATCAGGGGCCAGAAGAGGCAGGGCAGCACCGAGGTGCACTGCAGTCCTGGAACAAAGGTCCCTGGAGGGGCCACCTGACACAGGTCCCAGGGGAGCTGCCCCTGCCCACAGAGTTGTGCAGTAGCAGGTTCAACAGCTGTCCAGATCCTGTTCCTTGTCACTCCCAGAGGAACACCTGAGCCAGTGTGGCCAACCAGCATGTGTGCCTCTGGTGCATATGGCCATCAAACATGGTGGCCACACTGCTGGGAGCTCCCACTCCCTGCAGCTTTGAGGTTGCTGCATGGGAGTGGGTGCCTTGGAACATTTGCACTGAGGAGGGGATGCTGGGCCTGTCTTGAGCAGATATTTGGATCTAGAAAGGCTCAGGCTCCTGCTCATCTCTTACCCACACCATGCTGCGAGCAAAGGCTTCAAGGATCGAGGCTTCTTACCCTCATCTGTTTATGCTGGTGTCAGTGCTCTAGACATGGTTTACTTAAGATAGCATAAATCTGGCATGGATGCCCCTGTTTCAGGGAAAATGATTGTATTTTTTACTGAAGTTAAGCTTAAATCTTCCTAGAGCCTTCAGATAAGAGTATACGTGTCCCTCCTATCAGCCCGAGCAATGTCACTTTTCAGTCAGCTTCATGTGAAGCAGCACAACAGGCATTCACCCTAGTTTTGTGGAAGTTTTTCATGGATAAGGAGAATAAGAGCCATGAGTCCTTTTGGGTTTTCCAGGTGTTAATCCATAAGCTTAAATTCATCCCTCTGAGAGTAGGTACCATGGGGCTCTGCATGGTGGCCTTTGCCAATGCGGAGGAAGATCTCCTGGTATGGATGGCCTTGAACATGGCAGTAACCCGTGGAGGGAGGTAATGGAGCAAAGTGCAAGGGATGAATGAGGGAAGTGAAACTGTAATTGTTCCCACGAGCTGAGGGGTCATTAGTGGATTGCCATGGAGATGAACAATGTAGGAAGAGGCAAAAAGCCCACTTGGTCACAGAAGCCTGTGTTTGCTATAATGCCAGCCACCCTGGCACCTTCCTGCTGCTGGGGAAGGCTCATGCCTTGCATATGCCATGCACATGTGCCACTGCTGTTCCTCTTCCCCCTGGCCTGGATGACTGCACTCCTGCTTTGCTTAGCTTCCCAGCGCTGCTTTCTACTGTCTCTTCTGCAGTGTGTGAACCTTGGGTTGCTTCAAACTTGTCCCAGCTATCCCTAAGCTCTGGGGTGGTGGTCTCCAGCTGGATCCCGCCCTGCTCAGCCAGGACAGTTGCTGATCACAGGGATATTGTCCACTGCCCTCTCTTACAGCCTGACAACTCCTTATAGCTGGTTCCTCCGTCCCTGTCTCCGTGGAGAGCTTTGTCCCCTGAAGGGAACCAGGCTGGTGAGTTGCAGCCCAGCCAGTAACAGGGCTTTAACAGCACTAAGGCCCTCTACAATGGAAAGGGATCTCCAGTTACCTGTGGTTGGCTTCCCAGCTCTGAAGCACAGTGCAGATGAAGGCTCACTACCTGTGGTCTTCATTAGAGAAAAATCCCTACTTTGAGCAGTACCAGGGAGGTTGGCACATAGCACCAGTTAACAAGTACTACATGAATACTTTATCATTTAAGTGCTTTCTGGGCTTGCAGCTCCCTAATGAAGCTTCAGTAGGTCAGGCTGGGCAGCCTGGCCAAGTGTGCAGGTGGTGGGTGGGCTGGGGAGGAGGTGCATGGGAAGGACGCAGCAGGAAGGGGGGGTGCTGAGGCAAGAGGTGGCAGGGATGTGGGTGGTGTTGAGTGAAAACAGGAAAATGAGGTGAGGAGCTCAGGGGATAGCTGAGTAGCAAAGCAGGAGGTGAGGATGTGGGGCTGGGGCATGGAGGCGATAGGTTGGCAGGTGAATTCTGAGTTGGAGAAAATCAGAATGGCTCTGGAGACAGCCAGAGACAGCCCCAAGCAGGTGCAACTCTGCTTCGCCTCTTCCTGGCAGTGTGTTTCACCTGATCTTAAATGTTTCCCCAGGCTACCTCTTCCAGTGCTTTCCTGCCCTTTCTGCCAGGAGAATTTTCTTCTTCCAGCATCAGCCTGTCTCGTGTGGCTCCAAGGCTGCCTGTGTTCTGTGTAGTGTAGGGGGAGTTGCTCTTCCACCTCACCGCCTCGCAGTGACCTTTTGTATGTCGGGATGCTGCTGTAGCTCCCATCACTCCTCTGCTCTTGAGATTTACATGACCCAGCCTCCTGCAAACTTTTCTTTCCTGCTGGATTTTTCTAGACTTCTGGTCATTGCTCCTCTGGACTTCTGCAGCAGGTCATGGCTGCTGAAGGCATTGTGCAAGCCTCTTGCCCTGATGGGGCTGCCCCACAACAGTTTCAGACCTCTCACTCTCCCTTCGGAAATGCCTTTTAAATTCACATCACATCTTGCTCCGTGCTGCCATCTCTGTTATCTGCCAGTGATGTCACCTGCAGGATCCCACTCCCAGAGTGGCAGTGAGGACAACTTGAGCTTTGTGCTTGTCTCATAGTTTCAGCCAGCTGCAGGACTGCCTCTTACTTGCAGGAGCACTGCTGGAGGCCATGCAAAAGCCTAGCTGCAGTTAGGATGGGGACAGCTGGTGTTAGCAGCAGGGTCCCAGAATCAGCAAGGTGCCTGACGAGACCTCAGAGCTCTGCATGTCTGGAGGAGGTTGCTGAGCAGCATGGTCACACCACCGGTGGTCCTGGCCAGGGAGAACCCTGCTGTCACCCCTGAGGTCACTGTCACCCAGGGAACATTTTTGTTCCCTGCATGCCTGCATTCGGGAGCAGAGGACTGCAAGTGCTTGTCTGGAGCTCTAAGGGGCTAAGGAGAGGACAGCCTCTTCCTGAAATTCGGGGCTGCACCACCCAGCTTTCTGCCCACAAGAGCATGCAGCCCTTTGCAGCAGAGGGGCCTTAATACAGGTCTGCACTGTGTCTGTTCCCTGGCAGCCTGCAGGCTACCTCTCCTGGCTCATGCCAGCTGCATGCAGTTTGGGAAGCACTGCAGTCAGTGCACGCTGTCTGAAACAGCATCTCACAGCACCAGGCTGGGGCTGCTGGCCTGGCCCGTGCCCTGGTACTGCAAATTCACTAAGGACCATGCAACAACTGGAAGACATTCACAATGTTACAGAAACCAATATTTTTAGCCTTCTGCCTTGGTTGGGGCAAGCTGATCAGTGCCTTTGCAGTCCTCAGTGAACCATGTAACTAGTCTTTTAAGAAGGGAGTTGGTACAGGATGGAGCCAAGTGGTGCAGGAAAGCACCTGTCACAGCAGCCCTGCAGTGTGCCATGGTGGTCTCATCCTGTGGCACCAGTGGTTTGTGGTGTAGCCATGCCAGGCACAACAAGGGACCATGCACCACATGGGGGGGGTGGGCAGGACCGTGACTGGTGGTCAGTGGCCACTCAGGGCAGCCCTTCATGTGGGCTCTGCTGGTGGCAGGGATTGGTTGTCCCCAGTGGCAGCAGAGCTGGGAGCAGGGCTCCTGCTCACACCCAGGTGGGGGGAGAAGGAGCCTTGCCCTAGCACAGGGAGCCGAGGGTATACAAGCAGATGGGGGCCAGGCTAGGATGCTAGGATGCAAGTGCTTTGGGAGACGGATCCGTCACTGGTGCTGATGCTGGCCCATGCCGACTCCCCTCCTCCCTACCACACCAGCACTCCCCAGGGAGAATCTGGGAAGGAGTCCAGGTGAAGTGGCATCCTGGCTCAGCTCCCAGGGCGGTCGTGCCCACGCCCTGCGCCGCTGTGGCTCTGGGAGAGGTGCAATGTGAGTAGCCAGCAGTGCTGTGGGGCACAGACCTGGCCCCACCATCTCTGCTATCATGCTATTTTTGAATTCTCTTTTTTGTTTGTTTGTTTGTTTGGGTTTTTTTGTTTGTATGTTTGTTTTGGTTTGTTTTGGTTTTGGTTCCTTTTGTTTTCCTTTTTGTTCTGTCTCCTCATGTTTGGTCCCTAGGAGCCAGCGCTAAGAAACAGGGCGAGGACTTAGCGGATAATGACGGTGATGAAGACGAAGGTATTTCTGTGCTCCAGGCTGCCACTGCATGACACGCAAAGCAACTCCGTGTGCCTGCCGTCCGCTGCCATCCCCGGGGAGCCCTGTGTGTGTCCGTCCGCTGTGCCGGGCAGCTGCGCGGGGCAGGGGGCAGGCTGGCCGGCTGTGCAGGGCGCCCAGGCCCTTCCCCTCCTCAGGACGGGGGGGGAAGCTCGAGGGGTCTTTTTGCTTTAGAAGAAGTTTGCCCCTAATCGACTTGAGGAAGGGCAGGAGGAAGCATGGCAGCTTTGAAGGAGGAACCCTTGGGCACTTGGGCCCATTTCACTCCCAGCCTGGTCACATCCCACTTCCAGCCTCATCCCTCTGGAGTTGATGACATGCAGCTGGGAACCAACCAACCTCCTCCTCCACCCTTGCAGCACCCCACCATGGGCACCCCCACAGGGTGGCCATGCCAGCTGCTTGGCACCCACAGGGCAGCCAGCCATGCCCATGAGACCCGAGGTCCACTCGGACATGATTTCTGTTGACTTCTCTCCCCCACCCTACATGAGTGCTGTCTTGCTTTCAACCACAGCATCAGCTCCAGCTGAGGCAGAGTGAGTGGGCTTTCAAGCAGATGTGATTCTAGATATATCACAGTGCTAAGCAAGCTGCAGAATATGCTTTTTTTAGTAAAATGAAGCTGTTCATCTGCAGGGTATGGAGTCAATGTGTTTGGCTGCAGGAATGTGAAGAGGAGGCAGGAGGAAGGGTTGGCTAGGGTGCAGCCCTAAAGTGCTGAGGGTAGTAAAATCTCATGGTGGCAGCTTGAGTGTGGCCTGGCAGATGGTGTTTAGGATCTGGGAAACAGGTAAAAGCTTTTTCCTTGGCAGCAACAAAACCCTGTTGTTTTCTCCTACTAACCTGTGCCCTAGGATCTCTTGTACCAGGCTGTAAACTGGCATTCAGCCTTAGTGACTTGACAGTGCTAAATCTCTGTACACTAAAATGAACTGCAGTGATTAGGAGCCATTTATTTTGTACATTGCTGCCATTCTGCTGTGAGGATAGCACTGATGTTCCTGTCCTTCACATTTCAAGCAGGCGGCCCTGGGAAGAGTTGTCCTCCCATAGGTCTGTCACGTGGGTGATGTGTGCCCTGGAGGAGCCGCAAGTGTTTTTTGCTCCCCACATCTGTGCATTTGCTGGGCTGCATCCTGGCAACAGGATGAGTGCCAGTGCAGGTTTTGCCCTATACTTACTCTCTTGGAGGCAAGAGGTTTTCTATATGGAAGAGAGGCCACTCTTAGCAATGCCACAGGCCACAGCTGGAGGTGGAGATGGCCAGAGGTACCCATTAGCCTGACCTACACCCCCTGTGATAGGCAAGCTGTGTGGGGGAGTGGACGTGGGCAGGGGTTAGGTGTGTGCTAGGGAGCATGTCCACCCTGGCTAGGCATCCCTGCTGAGCTGGTGTGGCCGTGCCCCAGGAGTCCAAGCCCTGCAGGGACTGCAGTGGGGACCAGCTGCTGGGTTGGTGCAGTGCACTGGTGAGGGAGGCAGGCAGGGAGCAGCAGCTGGCTGGAGCAGCTGAGGCTGAGCAGCCCCAGCGGGCAATGCCAGTGCACCCGAGCAAGGCACTGGCGAGCATAATGGAGGGCAAAGTCCATCAGTGCTGGCTTGCCAACCCCGGAGAGGGCTGGACACTGCAGGCATGTGGGACCTGGCACCGTCTCCACAACAGGTGTAGTTGCCTCTTCTGTGTAATGTGGGTGAGAGGTACCAGGAGCTGACCATGGGTGTTCTTCTCTTGTGCCCAGGCTCAGCTCCTTGAGGAATCCCAGGCCAGTGGAACAGAAGGGGAAGGATGTCCCCTGGATAGAGACAGCTGAGAGAGGGAGCACGGCTGCTCCCTGTTCCCTAGGCTTCTGCAGTCCTTCCTCCCTGTTCCATTCCCCATCCTCACTCCATGCCTCATGCCCTGTCCTCACCTGTACTCACCTCCCTGACACACACACATGCACACACTGTCTGCCTCATCACCACGTTTGTGTCTGGGCACTGGGGTGCCATGCATTCACATCCAGGCAGACAGCAGATCTCTGCCTTCCCAGAGGGTGGGTAGTGGGGGCAGGAGAGTCAGACACTGGAGCACCCACCAGCGCTCCCCCCACCTTCCAGGTCCTGCACACCCCCATCCCTGCCCCCCTGCAATGCCAGCTTCCAGAACTCTTGGAGCCAAGGGCTTGGGTCCAGCCAAAGACCATAGGGCTGCATCCCAGGGCTGGACTCTGCAACTCCCACCTGCAACGGAGGCGCTGCTGG